CATGGCCCCATACGAGGCGCTATACAGGCGTCCGTGCAGGTCGCCGATTTATTGGGAAAAAGTGGGCGATAGAAGATTGTTTGGCCCGTATTTGGTAGAAGAGACCACGTCCAAGATAGTTAAAATCAAGAAGAACATTCAGACAGCTCAGAGTAGGCAAAAGAGTTATGCTGATACCCGGAGAAGAGACCTGACTTTTGAGAAAGGCGACCGAGTGTTTCTTAAAGTCACCCCCTTCAAGGGAATTAGTAGGTTCGGCAGGAGGGGAAAATTAAACTCCAGATATATTGGACCCTTTGAAATCTTAGACAAGATTGGTACCACTGCCTACAGACTTGCACTGCCTCCTGAGCTCTCCCAGGTTTATAATGTATTTCACGTATCTATGCTACGTAAGTACAACCCGGACCCTTCTCATGTCTTGGCTCATGAACCGCTTCCACTCCAAGAGGACTTGTCTTTTGAAGAAGTACCGGTCGGTATCACGGACCGAGAGAGCAGAATACTCCGCAACCGAGAAATATCATTTGTAAAAGTCGTGTGGCAGAACCACACGCCCAGGGAGGCTACTTGGGAACTGGAATAAGAATTTAAGGCCTAATATCTCCATCTATTCGATCAAGAGTAATGAGGCAAATTTGGGGACCAAATTTCTTTAAGGGGGGGAGAGTTGTAGCGCCCAAAAATTTGAAAAAAAATTTATTATTTTATTATTAATTATTTTTATTAGGTTTAAAAAATTAAAAAAAAAAGAGAACGCCACGTCAGCAGCCACATCAGCCGACCCAGTCAGCAGTCCTGGCCAACCAGGACCTGCCACGTGGCAAAACCACATCAACCGGGAATGGGCCACGTTGGCGATCCACGTACGCGCGATCGGACGGCCCAGATCAAGCGGGCGCACGGACAGCCCAGATGCAATCGCACGAACGGCCCAGCTTCAATCAAAAACGGACGACCCAGATTAAATCAAAATGGACAGCTGAGATCAAAAGGCAAAAAGGTATAAATAAAACCCCCACACCTGACCACAAAAACCCTAGCCGCCTGCCCTCGCTGGAGAAGACGAACCAGACGCCGGAGAAGCCGGCCGCCGCCACCCGCCGCCGCACCGGAGAGATTTTTGACCGCCGATCGAGGTAAATTTCATACCCCCGACTCGTTTTTCCACGCTGATTTCCCCTGTGGCCAAATCGGAGCCAAAATTCTGGCCAAACGGCCGGAAAACACGGCCGAAACCCAGCGGCGCCGCCGCGCCCCTCTTCGGTTTTTGCCTCCGATGAGGCCCTTCCCTGCCTCCGTTTGATGCAATTTTTATATCACCATGATCACCATTCTTTTCTCTACAGGTTGATCGAAGCCGAATCGCCAAAACACGAACCTCACCGAAGAGCCACCGCACCCGAGAGCACCGCCGCCGGTAAGCTTCGATTTTTCGTAATTTTTTGGCCCCCCAAGGGCCCTAGGGTTGTTTTATAGCAGGGATCGATGCAAGTGTGGCTGAATTCGACCGGAAACGGCCAAACCGAGGTAAATCGCCGCCGCAAGCGGCGGTGCCGTCGCCGGAGCACGGGGGAACCGCCGTCCCGGAATTGCGATATTGGCCAAAAAGGGGCCCTGAGCCTAATTTGGGATTTTTTGGAACACGTGCAGGTACCAGTAGTGCGTTTCAGTTCTCCGAAAAAAATTCAGGGAAAATTAGGGACAGCATGTAGGCGCACTGTGAAGCCGTGTTCGGACCCCGAAACGAGTAAGGACCCCTCACCCTATTTTCTATCACGGTATTAAAGTTCAATAATGATAAAATGGTATTTTTTGAATCAACGAATGTGTGAAATTGCTTAAGGTCGCTAATGGAGCCCGAGTCTAGTGTGTTTGTCGGTTAACTGGTATTTGGCATATTTTACAGTTTTAAATGCAGTATGAGGTTTGATGTTTTCATTTTATAGTTTTGTGTGCATATTTTACTGTTTTATTGATTATGGATTGAATGACTGAGATACTGATGCTGTATGTTGCCTGTTTGGCATAAATTACTGTTTTGCTTGTTTGTATGTGAATTGATGATGCTGACTGAGGAAAAGGAGAATGAAAGATTATGTGAATTGGTAATTGTATAATGTGGTCAGCCTGACTAGATATCCTGGTAGATGGTGGACGGACCGGGTCCGTAGGGAACCCTACCAGGATTGCGGTCTCTCATACCGGACGGGATATGAAGACCTTATGTGTTTTGGCGCCCATACCGGACGGGGTATGGGGATGGCCCGTTTCACCCTCATACCGGACAGGGTAATGAGGTTTATAGTTTTGGCGCCCATACCGGACGGGGTATGGGGACGACCCTGGAATCTGATTTCAAGTGTTAAGGGTTAACGGGTAGCGGGACCCCTATGGATCCTCATGGATACTAGTGGGCTGGTAAATGAGGAAAATGTGTTGTGTAATGATTGAATTACAAAAGGCGTGATAAGTATTATGTTATATAGTTTATATGATTTCATGATGATGATAATGTTATTGCTTTCATATATTATTTTATGAATTTCACCGAGGTAAGTGGATGGTAAAGGATTTATTATGGATAAAAGGATTTGTTGTAAATTATGCTCCATTGGTCTTTTTTGTATTTTTCACCCACCTTTACCTCCGTGACGGTGAAATATCGTGATATCTTTACTGGGCTAAGTGTAGCTCATTTCCTTATTTAATCATTTCAGATCAGGAAAAATTGTTCCCGAGCCCGTTCCGCAGGAAGACGACGAAGGGAACCCTAAGACTCCCTATCCATATTCATAGCTTTT